TGGTTAGGAAACATCATGTGTAGTTTGATTCCTATTTTAAGTTGTTTTCTAGGAGGATATACACCTAAATGTTAATAAGAGTATCTGTAAGTATGGGAATTATACGTGGAGTTCTTTTATCTTCTTTCCAAATTTTCTATATATTAGCTAGCCATCCCAAGTTCAGACTACTGGCAAATGTGGTCAGCATATCCATTCATGACATCAACAAAAATGTAGACAAGGCCACTGCAGACACCTGTCATCTCCTCATTAACCCAATTTTGATACAGTGGTTCAAGCAATCACAAAAACAGATACCCTACATTTATTGACGCAATTCATTCAGTAAAGTTTTATTAAATGCTGCCTATGTGTTAGTAACTAGGCTTTGAACATGACACAAACACCTCACTGACCTCTCGATGTAGAACCCAAGATGAAGCCAATACTACTTTATTTTTTATTATTGGCAATTATTAAGTGACTTTATGGGCCAAATAATGTATAGTGAGTCTTTATGTACATATCTCTTTGAATCCTCACGATAACTCCTCTATGAAGTCGAAATGATTGTTCTCATTTTACGAATAAGAAAAGTGAAGATCAGAGAGGTTAAGTAACTTCCCCTAGGTCACAGAACTAGTGTGTTGTGAGGCTGGCATCTAATTCCAGGTAGATCCTACTTCAAATCCCATGCTCCCAATGGCTCTTCTATACTTCTCCCTCCCTCCTCCCACGTAGATGCTGTTATACCATTGGCTAGCTTGAAGACTCTTTACCTCCAAACATCTAAGTCCTAAAGCTTGATTTTCCCTAAAAAGATCACCGAAGATAATCTAGACAGTGGATGTTAGCTGGTGTGAGAGTACATGTGAACTCAAGGAATTTCAGCTTCAACATACTGGTTAAACTGAACTTACTTTGGCAATTGACTTTTCTATGGAATTATGTGTTGCTTTTTCAGGGAAGAAAAAAAGATAAAAAAGACGGCCCCACTTCCCTTCCTTGGCACTAGACCATATCCTTCCTGGTCTTTGCGGTAATTTATGCGTTTACAACAGCTCTTCTGCCCTGCGGTCTCTTTTCTTGCAGACAAATCAACCATCCCAGAAACCAGTTTTCAGTTCTTTCTTAATCTGAAGGCACCTTTCTCCTCTCTAGTAAAGGGATTACACTGGTGAATCGAATTTTCTTTTCCCCCTCCATTGCACGTGGATGAAATCTATCCCATTTCTGAAAGCTCTTCTAACAAACTTCTGGTCTCCAGCCCTCATCACTGAGACAAACGACCCGTTTTTAGAGTTGAAGAAACCGGCTTACAGAAGTTGAAGTCTTGGCCTGGGACTCAACGCCGGAGCATCGGTTCCTACCGTCTACAAAAGAGCCTCCAATTCCTTACACTGCCTTTCCCCCGCAGCAGCGCTGGTCGCAGGAGCCAGCTCCCCTCCCAGGAACATCCCCGCGGGTGGTGGTTCGGTCAGAGACACGTGTTTCTGAGCAACTCCTGCGGAAGTTGCCAGGTGTCTAACTTTGCTCCCTTAACTCCGTAAATGATTCGCAACGCAGCCCGGAGGAACGGCGGCAGCACGCGGTGCGCCCGAGAGCCGGGCTGCGGGTGAGACGGAGCTGAAGCCGGGTCACAACTCACCTGCCCCGCCTGGGCCCGGGGTCGTCTGGAGAACGTCCTGGGGGCGGCGGCCACGTCGAGGAGCGAGCCGTCGGCGGCTGCCATGGCCGGCCGGGGCGCAGGGAGACGCCGGGCGTCCGCGGGCAGATCGCTGGAGAACCGGGACCCCACGTGGGACGCGCGCGAGGACCCCGCGCAGCTGCCCCGCCGGGTCCGGAAAGGCTCCAAACCATTCGAACCCACCCCGATGAGTGCCCAAGGGGGCGGCGCCGGGCGGGATGACGAGGCCACCCTGTGTCCCTCGAGGCTTGGCTTTGGGGATGCCAGATTACACTCGGCCCGCGAGTTCACGCTTGTGAAGCTCTCTGATTGCCGCTGAGAAACAAGAGGCCGAGCGCCATCAAACCGACGTGTCCTTCCTTTGCCGCCGCGTTGCTGTTTCCTCAGCACTTTAGTACCTAATGCGTAGCTCGTTGTCCCTGTAGGTCCCTAAAAGGGCCTGGGGCTCAGCTACCGGGAGACGACGGTGTTCTCAAGGTTCCCTTCTCCTCACCTGCTCGCGGGCCAATCCTGGCGCTTCGATTCGGCCTGCTACACTAGCGCGTTTTCTAGTCAGGCAGCTCCTTGGCCACCTGGCAGGGCTGTGTCGCCTGGCAACGGCGGGGTCCTTCCTGGCTCGGCGGCGCTCGGGCCCTGAGGGGAGAAAGCCGCCGCGGAGGGCGCTGGGGGTGGCGGCTGCTGTGCAGGAGGTGGCCGCAGAACGGCGGCGGGGGCTTGGCGCGCCCGGGAACCCGACCTCTGCACCTGGGGGGAGATGAACACGGCCAGCAAGGCCCGGGTAGGGCCCGCGGCCGACGGGCCTGCGCTGCCCGGGGAGGAAGAGGGTGAGGGGGGCGGCGAGGCTGGCGGGAAGGATCGGGCGGTGGACGCGGTCCCCGGGCCCAGTGCCGCGTTCCGCCTCATGGTGACTCGGCGGGAGCCCGCCGTGAAGCTGCAATACGCGGTGAGCGGCCTGGAGCCGCTGGCCTGGTCTGAGGACCACCGCGTGTCTGTGTCCACCGCCCGCAGCATCGCTGTGCTGGAGCTCATCTGCGACGTGCACAACCCAGGCCAGGACCTGGTTATCCACCGCACCTCGGTGCCTGCCCCTCTCAACAGCTGCCTCCTCAAAGTGAGTCTTCCCTGGGCCCCAGCTCTGGGATCTGCTCCTGCCTCCTCCTCGCGGCCGCGTCACCCGTCCCAGGAGAATCCCGGCCGGCGCTTGGTTTGGGGATTTCCCTCGCACCCAGCGCTTCGGGGTTAGTGAGCGGCCAGGGTTACCGCAGCATCAAAGAAAGCCTCACAGCTGTTTGCGCCCTGTTCCGTGGCTCACATCCCCTCCCCGCAACACACATACACTCCCAGGGGTACCCCCAGCGCCCAGTCCCGCCAACGCCTCCTTCGCCTCCGCGCCTGGCGGTCAGCTAGAGCAGATTACTCTGCCTGGCGCTGAGACTCCACCCCCTGTTGACCCAACCCCAGACCTGCTGCTACGGTTGCTCCTATTGTCTGGGGCCGACTTTCTGAGGCCCTGGGCTGGCTTTGTTTACTGTGTTGCGCCCTCCTCTCGGGCCTCTTGCTTTGGAGAAGAAAAATTGGCCCTCTTCATTGTCTTAACTATTTCAGCGACTGTGTTATGAATGGGCCTTGCTTCTCACCTTGGGCAGATGAGTAAATACTGGATCCTGGGGTTTGCTTCACTAGCTAAACATCTTTGGGACGTAGAAGGAAAATAAAGCCTCTGGAAACAAGTGCAGTTCTTAAACTTCGAGTCCAAGGTCTCTGTACGTTTAGTGCTTTCAGTTTCGTGTAACCTAAGTTGGCCTTCCGAACTTTAGGATTTCTAAAGTTTTACTGTTTCAATGTCACCATTTTCAAATTTGGTTTTTTAAAGTAGTAAGCCATAGCGTTCATTTTAGTTGCTTGTAAGTATAAAAACTTTCCACGTATCCTTTACGGATCTCTGTGCTTGTATGTGATCTGTCAGGAGAGTATATTCATTCATTCAACAGATATTTGAACACCGTTATGTATTAGGTGCTGACCTAGGTTCCGGAAATAAAGTGGTGTACAAAACAAAGTCTCCTTCCTCGTGAAGTTTACATTGTTTGGCAAGTCATGAACAAATGACAATGTAATATCAGGTAGTGACAAGCACTGTGAAGATATGTGCCCCCATACAGAGAACATGGTTGTGTGATAGTAAAGTTTTTCTAAACTCTTACTCATTTAAAGTATGACTCATTTTAAATGTGAGTCATCTGTAGCTAGGCTGCAGCTACCCCCCATCCCTTTTTAGCGTACTTCAAGTTTCAAACAGACGACTTGATGTTGAATTGGATCATTGGTAAATTTTTATGACTAAGCCCTCTGAGATTGTCTTGAAGATGCTATGAACAGATTTGTTAAAATACAAACAAATCAGGTAGACAGATGCTGGCAATCCTATGAAATTGAGGTATGCAGGAGGGAAAGAAAGGTGTTTTAAAAGGTGTATCCTCTGCTGAAAAGGAGCTTAACTGTTTCTAAAAGATACCATATGTATATCAACCAGAAAAAAGTGTGTGTGTCTGTATGGACGAGATTGAATACTTTAGCAGAGAGGGGTTAAAGGGAGAATAGTGAGGGGAGGCATTTTTATCAGGGAAGGTCGTCTGGTGGTAAATCTGCAGCAGTCCTAAAAGGAGGTAGTGTTTGGCTTGTAAGAGGGAGGGAGGGAGGAAAGGGCATTCTAGGTGGCAGGAATGAGGCATCCATGTCGTGTGTACATATTTAAGACATGAACATAATTTACTGTTGTTTGTGAAGTGGTGGATCAATAGATGACCTCAAGTAGCTCTTCTAGGAAGTCAGAGAAGGTAATGTGAGGCGAATTTGGGAAATTCGAAGGTCAATCTGAGGAAGTTGGGTTCAATCTAGGAAGCCCTAAGGTGCTGTTCCGGTTTCATGAGCATAGAGTGACCTGGTATGGTTCAAGAATGTGAATCTGACTGGACTAGCGGCAAGAAGGTGATTATTGAGATCAGTGTAAAATAGGGTTTAAGAGACTGGGCTTTGGCATAAGATGACAAAATAAGCCTATCTATAAGGGGGGAGGTAATAAAACCTTGTTTAGGCTTTTTGGAAGGTTATATTAAAAACACAATCACTAAGCACAGTGCCTAGCACATTGTAAATACTCAAGGTAAAAAGACAGTGTAGTCATACAGGTATGAAGAAGTAAGTTTGGATTAATGTGGGTGTGGACATAAAGATTACCCCTAGCATTCTGATAAAAATTTGTCATTTTGCCACATTTGATGTTTACCACAACTATCTAACTAGTGACAGGAAATCCTTATATAAACCCTCTTATAGCTGACAAATAGCTTGCATGAAATTTAGTGATATCTTCCCTTCTGTACTGTTCTTCGATATGCATATCACATAAACCATCAATCAATTAGCAGTCCTGTTAGACTAGGACTGCCTAGTGAATGAGTGCTACAGTTCTAAAAGAGACCTCTGTAGGATAAAACGGTTGTGATAGTAGGAGTGTAAAGAAGTCTGTATCGGTACTTTGATGGCTCTACCCAGTAACAGTCCCTGGGGATTTAAATCTGCTCAGTGCTGTCCAGCTTGCCTTTGCTCTCACCTAAACGGTGGACAATCTGCAGTATAGATCACAGCTTTGGTATGTAGCACTACTAGAAAGCTAGTTGCTCAACGCCTTTGGAACTTCTGCTCTATGATTCTGTTAGATTATGAATTTCCTACAGTTTATAATAGTTCAAGCATTAATTATCAGCCGTTCGAAAATCACTGTCCTGGGCACTAAGGTTATATGATATAAAGGTGAATATACATCTGAAAAGCAGTGAAATAGTGATTTAAGAATAAGTTACAATTTTTCTTCCCATTGGACTACTGATTTAGTGAGTCATCTAATTGTGCATAGTTCCAAATTCTGATAATATTTGTATACCTGTTGTTATATATTGTGCATCAATTGTTAGGAGCCTTAGAAAAGTATTAACTTCATCATGTGCATTAAGTTAAATTAACTGTTGCCTGTCTTGAGAATCACATTCCCTGCCCTCAAGAAGTTTATTGTCTAAAAGCTTCAAGTGAGTTTTTATTTATCAAGTGCTTACAAAGTACCTGGCTATTATTAATAGTAGTATAAGGGGTCATCTGGGAACTGGGTAGTGTACAATTAAATGATTGGTTGTGGGTAGGCCTCTGGGAGCTGGTCTTTTAAGTGATATGCTCCTTGGGCATCTGTGTGCTTGTTTTAATTTGTTAACGGGGTTTGTGGTAGGAAGAGTTGGAGTGAGGTGCAGTATACTAGGCTAACTCTAATATGTTAGACATTTCTGCACAAAGCTGTAAGTCTTTTCCCCACCAGTCAAGATCTGTGCCGCTCTCCATCCTATCAAGAATTCTTCCTGCAATGAGTGGGACCAAGGGTTGCTTGAGCTTCCTTTATTTCATCCTGTGCTGCTGCTTTGGGTTACCAGTCCTATAAGTTGACTTCTGGTTCTGCGGTAGCTTTTATTTGGAGTAAATTTAACCTATTCTAAGGATTGTTAGTCAGTTTATAGTATTAAAGGATTTGGTGAACAATTTTATATCTACCCTTCATTTGGTGGGCAACTTTATGTCTACCTTGCATTTTACATACTCTTATTAGGTCTCATTAACATTTATTTAATTATCAGAGAATATTAATAATGCTCATGATAGCTAACATTTATTGAGCACTTAATATAAGCTTTACATATATTGACTTATTTAACTTTCCTAACTCTACGGGACATGTATTATTTTCTTTTATAAATGAGGAAATTAAGGCGAGAAGGTTTAAGCAATTTGCACATAGTTGCAGAGCTAGTATGTAATAGAGCCAGCACTTGAACCCAGGTAGTCTGACATCATAGCACAGATTTTCAATTATGATGCTTTGTTTCATTATGTCATATTTCAAATTTTTCTATCCGTAGAAAGCTCTGGAATTTGGTTAGCATTATTTTATTTCCAAATTAGCAACCTACACCTTCTTTATTTGGAATTTCCAGTTTGTGTTTCTCCAGCGGGTCCATAATGTATGTAAGA